GTTTTTTTTGTGCGGCGGTGGAAGAGGAAACGCCGACTCGGGCCGCCCGGTATTTTTAGAGCTTGTCTCTGCGGTCCTTGGGTTTTGCTTCTCGGCTATTTGTTAAAAGAAGTGGCGGTGGCTGTTTGAAATGCCACCGTCGCCGGTCCCGTGCTGCTCTTGGCCTCGCTGCACCGTAAGGCTGAATGGTACCAGAAAAGCACTGGTTTCTCAGCAACTTGGCACGGCACGCATCTCTAGCTACTTGAAGAAACCCCAAAACACACAGCAGTGTTGATAAAGGGCTGATAAAACCCGGCCAGTCTTGCAGCCCAGCAAGCCATTAACTATTCGGTATCTTTGTGGTCTTAATTCCAAAAAAAAAGTTAGTGGTGAGGAGCAAAGGGAAATTTTCTATAGATGCGTGTATCCACGTGGGTAATACAAAGAGCGAGGCAGAATATGAAAGTCTGCAAGTAATCCCTCTGTGTGTGTGTGCAGCCAGCATGTGGTGTTGGCTCTAATTAGACGTGGTCAGGTCTACAGCAAGTTATGAAATCTAGATCTACCCTCATCTACCCATGAGCATGTATTTTAAGAGAAATCGGGCATTACAGTCCCAGGACAAACCTTCGGATAATCCTGTGCCGGTAACGTTATGCATCGGCAGCGTGAGCGCAGGCAAGATTTGAAGCTTTTTCTTCTGCAAACTAAGAAAGAAGCTGTCAAAATGCGTGGGGGTGTGCCGTGCTTGAGTGAGTACTAATTGAATGCTCATCTTTACTACTGGTGGCAGCACCTATATTGCAACAGAAGGAACGTTTTGCTGTTACTTGGGCTCGTAACTAATTGCGTGTGGATAGTTTTTCAGATTCTTCTGTAATTTAAGCAGAATTTTATTTTTTTTTTTTTAAAAAGTCCTGACTGTAGTGCACACCAAGGTTTATAAGTGGTTTACAGGTTTATACTTCACCTGATCGGTGCTGAATTAGCAGGCAGCTCAGTTTCTCCGTGCTTATTGCTGAGTTATTCTCCCAGGAAGAATTTCCTTTTGTGAGTGTGCAGCGGTTGTTGAGAACATCCTTGTTTCTCTTTCAATAACCAAAAAATCTGTATTTTTCAACTGGAGAAAACAGCTCTGATACAGCTGTGTACCAGTTCTTGAGAATAAAGCCACAGTGGCTTTCTGGTTTTTTGGAGGAATTTACTATTCTGCAGTCTTTCTGAGGATTCTGCAGGATAAGGCCCTTGTCCCGCATCCATACATTGCGCTTACCTTTACTACTGGGAGCCCTCCTAGTAAGGCAGATGGAATAAAATCAAGAATGTGAATACATCTTGTCAGACTAAGTCAGAAATACTGCTGCTGCAGTTTCCACAATACAAGATAATGGACTTTCTGATGCTTAAGAAAAATATTTAGGTCAGATCCATTAATATATAAAAAAAATAGCTCTCTGATCTTGTGTGGTAAGAGCTTTTATGAACCAGGACTCCAACACCAAACAACTTAGTCCTATTTTCTAGTCGTGCTGTGAGACATTTGCTAATAGTGTAAGTTAACGTAGAGACATACAAAGGTGTTCTGAAATTATTCTCATTTGAATTCACCTAAATGTGCTTTATTTGTTGGATGTCTCAAGTTGTGAACTTACTTACTCTGCTTGAGCGCTCTGTATCTAACTTTTCTCCTTGTTGAACTGGTTGCCTCAGAATAAGAGGGAAGAAAAAGAGTTTCAAGATCTGCTTCCAAAATAACCCGCTTACCTCTGCCAAATACTTTATTAGTTACCCTGCCCCCCCGCCATGATTGTTCCTTTTATTTTGCAGATCTGAAGGTACTTTAGAAATGTCCTTTAAAACGACAGCTCAGGACTTTGCTGGAAAGAACCTGAAATATTATTACCACCATTTTCTACTAATTTCTCCCAACAGCATCTGGTCAGCTCGGGGAGTCCTGAGGTGCTGAGTTGCTGTGCGGAACTGCGTCGCCCAGCTTCATCTCTCTGCTCCTTCCTCGGCCCACGTACGCGTTGGGGTGCTCCTGTTGTAAAATGGAAGTGTCCCCTTGATCCACAAAGCACCCGCTGCAGGGTGGCGGGTGCAGGGAAAGCTGCTTTTGTTGAGTAAAAGCCTTATTGGGAGACACATTTATAGTTGGTTGTTGCCTAATGTAATCATTTTAGACTGCTTTATCATTACCGAAGTGATGAAGCCAGCTCGTGTGCGCCTGGTTTGTGTCATGCTTGGGTAGGCAAGGTTTGTCTGCTTATTAAAAAAAAAAAAAAAAAAAAAAGGAGAACAGAATGTAATGGTGCATCCACACCAGACTCGGGGTAGTGCAGACTCACTGGATAGATGGCTGTGGGTATATAAAAGATGTTTGTTGGCCCTAGAGCAGTGGTGCTTAAAAAAATTCAAACTGATTGAGGCCAGAAAGATTGGAAACTCTTGTGAGGCCTGTACGGTCTTGAATGAATAATTGCAGCTTGTGTTACCAAGGAGAAGCTCCTGTTAACACAGAGGTCTTGGTAATTTCTGGACATGAAAGAAAGACTGGAACTGCTCATTTAAGCAGGGTTTCAGGAATACTTGAAGTATATTTATGTTTAGCCATCCTTCAAACTGAAGGAGGACTGCAAAGTCATCGAGGGTGAGTTGCTGTCCTCTGAGAGATACTCCGTAGTATTAAGGTATAATCCACACATCAGGCAGCCTGTGCAGTGATTGACGCAGGCCTTGCTTTAATCGACACTGAGCTTCCTGACTCTCCGAGCAATGCAATTGTACCTTTTAAAAAAGTATGATGAACCTTTCCCTTAAAAGTAGCTTTTGCAATTTAAAATCCATAATTGCAGCAGCAAAACATTTGCTCCTAGATAAGGGCACTTGTGCAGTATTGGTAATGAGTTTGACCTGGCCAGATGCCTCCTGATAAGGCACAGAAGAGAGCTGTTATCTGGTATGCTGAAGAATTTAATTCTCTTAAATTGTGACACAGCATGTATGTGGTAATAAGTCACAAAGTACCAGTTGTATTAGATTAAGACTAGTGGTGCACCACAGTCTTGTTTAGTCCTTACCCTTGTCAAATACTAAGAGAAGAAATCCTTATTCTGGTTATGCTGACACACGTTTTAGCAGGAATTTTATTCCTCTTTCAATTCTTCCGCTTTCTTCCTAATTCTTCTTCACAGGACGTTGCACAACCTCAGTCTTCTCTGTATCACATCGTTGCAACCTCCTGTCTTTCTCGCAGTTGATATCCTTCCCCCTTCTCTATCAGCCTCTACTGTCCAAGTCATCTTTCCTCCTTCTTAAAGTACCACCATCTCAAGCCTGGCCTCTCTTCTACAAACCCCATCATAAACCATTTAAAAACCTTCTCACAAAGCAGTATGACCCAACCCTTTCATCTGCTTGAAGCTGGGCATCGGTTTGAGGACCTTTCTTCTGTCTTTGCAGCTTGCTGTCTGCCCCAAGTGCTTCCCAAAAAGAGGGCTGGCAAATACTAGCCACCAGGCACGAGGCTTCGCGTCCCTTCTTCCTTTCCCACGAGGCCAGAGGAGAAGCGGAGCTGCCCAGGGCAGCTTATTTGCTGCCAGTTGGACCATGCTGCATCTAAAGTATTTTTATCGTGTGGTGGCATCTTTTATCGGAGAAGCTGTTAGCCCTAATCCCAAACTCCTGGTACGAGCTGGTTTTATGGCTACCCCAGTGCCGCGTCTGGCTCGAGCTGTCCTCTGAGCCTCGGCTGGGGGTGAGCGGTGTCAGCCTGGGAGCTCTCTTTTAAAAAAGCATGAAACTACTAGCGGCATGTATAGATGTAGCCTTGATTTTTAATCGTAAGGGTTACTGGGTTGCCCTGTGCATGTATTCTTGAGGAGGAATTAGGACTTGTAAAGTAGAAGGACCTGGGCAGATGGGTGGCTTGTTCTTGCCGGGTTGGTGGCCAGCAGAGCCCGGAGGAGCAGGTAGGTGAGTCATGGAGAGTCATGGCCCCGTGGGCAAAGCACAGAGCTCTTGGCGCTCCTACAGTACGGAGTATGGACAGGGGTTGGGGAAGGATGCTTGCTTTGTGGTTTCAGGGTAAGTCACGTTAAGGTGAGTTTTGGAGGCGGTTTCTTGCTGAAACATGGTTAAAAGCCTGCGACAACGGGAGTTAGAGGAGACGTGCAAGGTGGGAGATGAAACAGGAATAGGAAACAATTAGAAAAGCAGGGGAAGGAGAGCTCAGGACTGAGTAACCAGTCAGGTTTTATGCTGGATATAAGTTAACTGGGATTGCATCTCTTAGATCTAAAGAGAGGGGCTGAGTGGAAAACAAAGTCTGGTTCCTCCTATCTGAGATAGAATCATAGAATCGCTTTGGTTGGAAACGACCTTTAAGATCATCGGGCCCAACCGTTACCCTAACCCTGCCCTGGCGCAGCTTCCACCAAGAGAATAATTTCTAGGTGCCTGTATGGCACCTCAGAGGAGAGGAGCAAGTTCCCCCTCTCCCAGAGGAGAGAAGAAGGTAAGATCTGTCAGATTTGCATCGCACCCCTGAAAAGCCTCTTTTCTCTCTCGTTGATTAGAGAGTTAATTGGTGAAGCTAGGAGTAATCTGGGCCGCAATCTTGTTTGGTTCTTAAGTGCTCATTAATTGCAGTGAAGTAATTTAAATTTAATTAGAGTAAGTTAAGGTGTGGTGTATGGCCTACTTTTTAATTCCTTGTTTAAGGTATTTGCTCATGACAGATTGAAGCCACCCTAACACCAGACCGATGGGATGCGGGCTGAGGTTTGCTGCAACGCTGTAATCACAGATCATTCTCAGCCTCACGTGCACGAAGGGATGGACTCCCAATTCTGTAACGATGGCAAATGAGCAATCAGAATTAAAACCGGTTAAGACTGAATTTGCCATTCCTAAAGGCTGGTTGTTTTGCAGCGCAAAATTAATTTTGCTTATCTGATCCTGATTTTCAGCTACCCTGAGTTCTGGCAGACCAGCTGTATTTAGTCCACCGCTAGCTGGTTCAGGGAGGAATTATCATGTTAAAAGCCACATTTGTTCGTAGTGCTGGCGAGGCTTCCATTCGGCCTGTCTCCACCGGGTAAATTTATGTTCTTTACCGCGAAGCAACGAAAGTTGAGTTTTGAGTGGGGCTTTTTTCAATTGCAAGGCTTAAACAAACAAATAAAGGATG